TTATCCTTTTATTGTGAGATATTGTCCATCGTGTTACAATTATATACTGTTTTTGTGGACCATGACATACATTATAATAATACATAATCCGTTCTAAAGATTACATATATTTTGCAATAATATATTTATATATTTTTTCCAAAGAAATTGTTTTTTATTTGACGGCATCAAATGTAGATAGATATACTATTATTATAATAGTTAAACATGATTTTTTTTTTTTTTTATCGTAATAGAAACTTAAAGAACTATAGAGATATACTTTAAAATAAACTGTGACCCAAAAACAAAGTATATAGATAGATATTTCATAAAAAAAGTAAAAGAGAAAAACGCAAATAAAATTCATAAAACTCAAAACAAATTATTACGAGTAATAATATTTTCAATATGAATAAAAGAGTACTATTTTCAAATAAACTTTTATATTTTCATAATAAACGTTTAAATTTAAAATTCACCAGAAAAATGTTATTGGCCACTATTTTTTATATTAACTTACCGGAGTAAACAATATTTTAAATCTAATCCAATCTAAAATATGATCTATCTTGAGTATAATTTTTTGTTAGTATTAGTATCTGTTGCAAATAGACGTAAACTTAACTCGTTCAATGATGTAATGATAAAATAAAAAAAATATAACAAGATATTTTGAAAAAGATAAATTATAGAACATTATAATAAAATAATATTGTTGGTTTAATTTACAAAATAAGTTATTTATTATTCGACATTTAAAAGCTAAAACTAAAATATTTTACTACACATGATCGATTGTACAATTTTTATTTTTAAATTAGGTGCACGTTAAAAATATGCTAAGTTTACTTTTTGTTATTTAAAAATTTAAGAAATATATACCATTTAAATAAATACAATTTAAATTAAATAAAAAAAAAAAAAAAAAAAAAGAATAAAATGGTGCCTTTCATTACTAGGTATACATTATTATAGTTTTTTGTTGGTTATTATTAATAACTTATTGAATTTTACTGAACTTTGTAAAATAAATACACCCAATCCGTTTTTATTTTCATTTAATATTAACAAGCCATTCTGAAAATATAAATTTAAAAAAAATAATTGAATACAATGCTTTCTACAGAATGATTTAACTTTCAGTAGCGAATTATTATTCTTATTTTGTATAAACATTTAACCACGTTTAAACAATACTAAAACATTGGTTTTAATAGTAAACACAATCGACTCAAAACGGTTATTATGTTTAATAAAAATGATAGTACTCTATCGTCGTATCGTGACCGTATCTCTATATTCACTATCGCATAGTACATGAGTACAATATTTCATGAACACAGTTAGTGCCTATTAAACTAGTTTAAAAGATAATCTAAATAACTAAATAAAACTTCTAGAAAGTATTAAGCATTCACTCTATAATAATATTGGGTGTTTAATAAATAATGTATTTTTTAATCTTGTTATAAATTAATTTAATTTCAAGCAAAATATTTTATATTTAATACATATCATTTCATTACGAGTTGAAGTCTAAATGCAAAACACGATATTTCGCATATAAACTCTTTTATTCACTTAATACGAGGCGAAATTGTGACAATCAATGAAATTTTTAACCATATTTTAAAATACTTGCCCATTTGATTTGTTGATGACCTGTTGAATTTCTTCCTTTAGATCTAATAAAGTACACAGTTTGTTTTCATAGACCTGCGATTTTAAAAATTCCCAACGAAAAAAATAACTTAAGGGTGGTAAATCACATAATCTTGGTGACTACTACTGATCGCCATGGAGAGAAATTGAGAAGTCAGACGTGATATTTTCACGGAGTAATGCAATCATCACCACAGAAGTGTGATAGATATTTCAACATTAAACCTCAATTCGTAGTGAAACTATATCAAAATATAAAGTATTTATTTGAAAATCAAATTTCGTACTTTATTTATTTTAGTTAGTATATTAATATGTATCAGTTATACTAATGAAGTATCATTATTACCCATTATATATATATTTGTACATTTTTAAACAACATTTAAAATAATGATTTATTTAGGTACCTTTTAATATAAATCGAAAAATAGGTTCTTATAAAAAAAAAAAAGTGCTATAGTAATTCTTTAATAACAGAATAAAATAATCTAATTGAAAATCACATATTTTACGAAACTGATTAATGTAATAGTTCATTAAAATTGAATACTTACAAAATTTTTTACTAAATAATGTTCAAAGAACTATTAACTAGCTATTGATTTATTATTTAGTGATTAACGTAGATCTTAAAATTTTAAAATATAGTTTTAAGTATGCTTTAAAATTTCTAAAAGTCAAAATTTAAATAAATTCATTACCAAGGTATAAATGATCTGTACAATATAAATCCAGCATATAGAATTATCATATTGTATATTTGGTGGAAGTATATAAATTATGTAATGTAATATTTAAATAAATCATTATATACATATACATAATTTAAGTTAAAATAACCGATAGATAATAAATAACATGTATATTATTACAATTAAGTCAGAACAATATTCGATAAGATTAATAAAACTCACAATTTCATAGCTACATGTTCTCATGCTCAACATTTATTTTTTCTATAGTTGATGATAGGAATTTTCACAGCTACTCCATGTTCTCCACATTATTTATAGAATAATTTATAAAATAAACATGAAAATAAAGTTCCAAGTAGATTATAAAACTGCAACATTATCTGTCGTTAACTTATATAAATTGATAACTACTAAACTCACCGATAATTATGATATTGTCACAAGTATATTGTTTGTATAACATTACCGCGAGGTAAAAAATATATATATATATTTTTTTTTTTTTGATATATTGTCTTCAAAGTCAAAAGAAAAAAAATTCTGTCAAAGATACTTTTGATTAGACTTGACGATGCGATAAAATATTAATAATATAATTATTGTTATGAATATCTCAATAATAATAATTTCCTATCACACACGATTAGGTCCATTGTAGAGGCGTCGACCATCGATTACCCAACTGAATTGTTTAGCGACCCCAACAGGGTTTTTGTTATTATCAGAGACATTTATTTATAACGGAGGTATAGGTGATGGTTTTTCCCTCGGCTCTACCAAATACGCAAGCACATACATACAACTTAAGCCATTTTTATTAGTGGCAGATCCATTAGAGTTTACCCGGAGGCGTTGCTCTAATTCCACCGTTAGCACTCAGCTACGATCGATAATATCTACTTGCAGTACTTTCACCGTGTACAGCAGCTATGTACGAAGTTTAATAATAATAATAAATCATACGCAGGTAGGTTAGGATTTGATATAAGAAGCCATTTATACATACATATACATATATCGAAAACCAACCAATGGCGAGTTCAACACAACTATTGCCACTAGTATAGTTATACCTAAATATTAAACTTGTATCGTATGCGAAATACAAATGATCGTGTATTGTGTTCTATTTATAATTAAATGACTTCAATTGGATGCTATATTCAAAAACAAATGGATAAATTATTACATTTACTAAGACTTACATAAGAAATAAGTAAACCTATTAATATAAAAATGAACGTTTTAAATCTAAAGAGTGTCTTTAATAAAATTCAAACAACATAATGTCATCATCAAGAATATTTTATTATTCCAAAAATTATTATACACCTTTTCCGTTATAGTATGTATATACAGGTAGTATAATGCATATTATTAAATTTACCTTAAAAGCTAAATTTGATTTGCCAAACCTTTTAAAAAATATGGAAAATATATTCTTTTTTGTTAAAAAACCACAGCAAAATCGCCAAAATTTACGGTATATAGGGAGATGATGGACATTTAAATTAAAACAAAATACAGACATCGTTGTGTCGAAAGCTCAAAAGTATCGTGAAGAGTGACAACCAAACTACATTGTTAAAATAAACTAAATACGTATCATATTTACGACTTTACATTATGTCTTAAATGATGGTAACAAAATTATATAAGTTAAATTTATACGTTTCAGAAATAATAAATTTGTACATAGATTTGTAACTGCTGTTTAGAAACAACATCAAAATAATAGGACTTTGTTTCGGCCGTGTAGAAGTCACAGTATGTGTATTTTGATGATCTAAAATCGTAGTTGTAAAACTTTAGAATCCGTGGAAAGCTATAAAATAAATATATATATATATATATAAATAGTGTAAAGTATGTTCAATAATCACACACGTACTTATATTGTTTTTATGTTTGTCGACTTAGTTGTAATCGGCTTGTTATATTTTGTGTAAATGCAGGTTTTACACTTGTTCAATTATTATTATTATTATTTTGTTTTTAAAACGTACGTTTTTAAAAATAAGTACATGCTGATTATGTAAAATATAATATTATTTGAATTAATTATAATATAAAACAACAATATAAATTTTTCAACATAATACTGATACATTAAAATATTAGCTAATATATATATATATATCATACTGAATAATGGTATTATTCATTCACCAGTTTAAAGGCATAAAAAAAAAATAAAAAAATAAAATATTAACTATGTTTCCGTATCACACTTTATGTGTATACCTATTAAATAAGGATTACGAGTGTTATTCATTCAACCTGTCACTATGTATATTGTATATTATATATTTATTTTATTTTTAGACATTTATTTTGAGTAAACAGGCTGAATAATAATTCTCCTCACCATTTTTTATATATGTTAACATTATTTAATAAACTGAAATTTTCCTTCAAGTCTCAAAGTATCTATTGATATAACTTTTATTGAAATCGATACAATAATTTATAAAGTTAAACTTTAATCAAAACTACTTTCATATTTTGTGTAGACCTGAATTAGAGCTCTCAGTTATTTCTGTATTCTCGTTCTTTTTTTATATACAATAGAGATATCTAAAAACATAATATGCATAATAATACACAATTACTAGACATGTTCTAACATAATATGTAAACGGTTTACTTGTTGTTCAGGACATTCAATGTGGTGGCACCTAAAGTGGCCGTCCCTGGTCAAAGAACCGCGGTATTAGTAAGCTGGAATCCAGCGTGCAGTCCAAAAGACGTGACTTTACGGCTCTTGCGTCAGATACCGGTGACTGAACAGCAGCGAGCGGCTGACGACGATGTACTATCGCATAACACTGTCACCATACATGGTAAGTAAAATACATAATAAAAAACTTTCTTTTCTATAAATACTATCGTATTATCATATTTTAAAATTCGATAAAATCACACGATTGTATACTGTAATGATTAAAATACATTTATTGGTTCTACTTCATGAGCGATAACGAGGTAAAAGGATGAACCTATCTAAAGGTAGGCAGTAGAAAGTTATGTTATAATCCACCTGTAAACTTTGCAATCGTATAATATAACCTAAAGTATAAAATCAAGGTATTCTAAATACCACGTGACCAGCGATTTTGGGGTGATAAAATATTCCACTAAAATTTCCGCAAAAATATTGTACTTATAAAGTTATAATTTGTATTTGGATATAAGAAGTCTCTGATATGTTTACCAAAAAGCAGTATTCATAATATTTTGTCGTAACTAGCAAATATTTGCAATGCTTTTTGCATATTTGCCTGGAAATTAATATAGTGTTTCGTAAATATCAACGATAAATGGTAATTATATTAGTAATAAATTATATATATCATTACAAACTTTTTATTAATTTCTAAGAAAAAACTCTGGCTTAGATCCCAGGAAATTTTCCCAAAAGATATATTGTTTTACAATGGAATTAATAAACTTCAAGGAACTTAAAAAATTATGTATTTAGAATACAAAAGTCAATTCAATCTAATTTATAATGTCCTACAAGCTTATACAATTACTACCAAAAAACCCAGTATTTTTAAAAACAATACCCTCGTATAATAAAATGTTATGTCAAACATATTTTTTTTTTATCTTTTATTATTAAAATGTCAATTCTATTATATTAACTGAGTTAATGTTTTATGAATGTTGCTCTATTTTCTTAGAAACACGATAAATGCTGTAAACTTTAAAATAACCCATCTACTATATTATACATTTATATTCCTTTGACTTTATACTACGAAACCATTATAATAGTATACAATAAAAGCGGGGTTTGTACATTTTTAACTTATTTGAGTATTTATATTCATTTTTCCAAAAAAACAGGTATGTAATATAATAATAGATAGGTCCACTGATGGTGATCGTATAATATTTTATTTTTATTTTTTATTGAGGGTACATGTATGTGCTTGAATTACCCAACTGAGTCGGCGCATATACTGTTATTTCATCAACAAATTGTTTGAAGACAATCGAAAAACATCATGCGACCTTCGTTAATTTGGATAATGTGCCGGTCGTTATTAAACACGATTATAATGGTGCGTTACAAGCACAATGGGTGGTACAATAAATGTATGAAATACACAATAATATATTAGATGTGTATACCTTTTTTAAATATTCAAATTAATATGGTAATAGAAAAGGATTCTCGTTTGAGCTAAACTAACTCTAGGTGCAAGTAAAATGTTAGCACAGCCCTTACATAGTCGTATTTAACGTGGCAAAATTGTCAGCATATAGTTAATATAGATAGTGGTGATGGAGATAAAGTTGTTGAAGATATTTAGGGCCTTAGTTATACTCGCGCATAATATAATATGCTGTGCAAATCACAAGCCTTAAAATACTAAGGTATTTTTTTTTTTAACCACAACTTATATATCTTCTCCTACGAGGTCCTAAATAAATGTAAAATATTAACGCGTAATAATTTATCCTTAAATTTAACAATAGCGATGCTTGCATAAGACAATAATCTTTCTTTAAATATATTAACACATTAAAAGCGAACATTAATTCAAAATCCGTGTTAAAATTAATTTGCATTATTGTAAGTACTATAATTTGTTTTATACAATATTATTCTTTGTACATCTGAAAGAAGCTATGGTAAAAACATTGTATTAAAAAAATAAAACTTATTATACAATTTTTGAAATTAATATATGATTTAAGTATTATTAGTAATCATGACATAAGTTTAAAAATTTAGCGTTATTTATAATCTTTATTCTTATTTCAATTTTTAAACATTATATTTTATATCATCGAATCAAAATAAGCTAAAACCTATACATTTTACCTTAATAGCTTAATATAAAATTACAATTAATAACTTATCACTGTATGAGTATGATATTATATACAATAGTAGTTAACGATAAATATTACTGAAACAATGGTTATTATAATAATATAAAATTGAATAATATCATCACATTAACTAGTATTTCTATTCACCGCTTTGCACACTTTTTCTCCCTTAGAAAAATGTGCAATGTTTAATACACATGGTAACTGTAAAAGTATCCTTTAAAATGCTATCTATTAATTAGTTTTTCACTAGTACACACACATTTCTCGGTATGTTTTTCTCACCACGCTGTGAGGTTGGTAACTGCGGAATATAATTTAATCTGGAAAAAATCTTACCGAAAACAATTTTCTCAGTACATATAACTTTATATAATTATACGTATATAGTAGTGCCCCCATAATAATCTTATCACAGTCTTGTTGTAAAAATTTCAGAGCACGTACAAAATACATATTATTAGAGTATAACAATATTATAGAACTAAAACAATAATTATTTTTATCTCCGATCACATTCGTTCAATCAGTAATAAGAATATAGGTACACTAATCAATTTTTTATGACTTTCCGACATGAAATTATATTTAATTAGAACTATACTGGTATTAAAAAATGTATATATTTATGTAACATAATAAAATCAACAAGTTATATATTATGAAATCAAAAAGAATCAGTTAAAATTTTACATGATTTAAGACAATTTATTTTTATTCTATTTTTTGTCAAAGAAAAGGTTAAACTGTTAATAAAAATTGATACACCTTAAAGATTTTTTTTTAAATAAGTAGGTTCACATCACATACAAATTTAAAAAAAAAAAATAGTAGGTACGTGAAATACGTTCCCGATAGTTGTCAACTAAGTTCCTGTTTAAAATTCAGTATTTTAATAGATACCTAAGTTTAAAATGGGCTACTATTTAAATTTTAGTTTTATTTTTCAATCTAAAAACATAGCTTCAGAAGTTTTCCAATATCCAAATCTTTTTTTATTGAATTCCATGTAGAGGTCAATCTTTTGAATTTTACTTTACGACTGACTTCAAATTACTTTTTGATCAAACAAAAATCAATTCAGCTTTGATGTCATATCAAATGCAATATGAGAATCGACTTGGCTAGTGAGATAGTCTCAGAAACCAATCTACTATCAGCCATGTTTACCTAATAACTAAAACCTACACGAGCACCTCTGTCCAGTATACATTAATATTACACATTATGTAACAGAGGTATAGAACTTGAGCGGTCACCACTGTGGATTTTAGGATGGAGTGACGTAGGATATCACGTCCCAGCGGAGTCGTCAAATATCTGAGAGAGCTCGTATCATTAATTATTGCGTTTTATTGCGGTTAGATGTGTTGGCAGCGGTAGTAGTGGTAACGGTACAAAATTTGTCGACGATAACCGCTAACTAAGTGGTATTTTAACGTCGGCGGCGGGTAAATAAACGAAGCGGAAATTTGCGACCGACCTACCTCCCTAGTCCCTACCCTCAATGCTTACACTTCTTTACGCTCCTACCTGCTATTCAGTTTCCATCATATCCCTTGCTTCCACCTTTTACGAATGATCCCTCACCATACCCATAGGAAGACACAATATGCAGCTCCACTGTGGAATATCCACACAAGTACGCTATAGCACAACTATGGATGGACGTGACTCTACTCCCCTCATGACGTTTCCCTACTTTCAGACTCTTGTTTAACAAACTCGTATTATTTAACCCCGACATCGTCGGTCACTCCAGACATTTCACTTGTATACCAACCGTGGCCGTCGAAAACACGCACTATGATTCATAATATATTATAACATAATCGTATCTAAACACGATGAATTTAAAAAAAATATATTTATACCGGTTGTTTAAATATAATAAACATTATACAGCATCCCTTCTACTTCACAAAAAAAAAAATAAAACAAACTATTCAAAAGTATTGATATAATAAATATCCTTGATATTTACGTAGAAAATATATTAAGAATAATATCGTGGAAACATGCTACCTTTCTACATGGACAAAAAATTGATTTAAAATATCAGCTAAAGTCAAATAAAAAAAACTCTCCTCTTTTAAATTCGCATAAAAATTGACAAAGTCCAACATAAATCTACAGCTAGTATCATGGAAAAAATGTATATTACAAATTTTATGTATAGAAGGGTGAAGTATAGGTACCTATAATAGTTTAATTCAGTAAATTATAAATACAAATTGTATATTGTGTTAATAGTTTTTTTAATTTGTGTTATAATTATATCCAAGAGGTTTTTAAACCATATTTTTTTCTTTACCTATGTCGTGTAATAATTTTTGAAAACATTTTCATTGATATATGAACACTATTTAAATCTATTGATACCTGACTCAAAATTATAATAAATAAATATAACTCATTATCTAACCCTTTAAGGTTCGTAATATTTTTATACGATAAAAAATATATATAACGATAATAATAATTGTCATAAGAAACGTCATAAAAAAAAAAAAAATAATGACAACTTATAATATACTTATAATGGCACCTATAACTTATTTAAGCAATAAGCTTTTTATATATTTAAATCTTGATATTTGTTTTATTCATAATATCTGCGTATTTAATATGACTTAAGTTTATTTATTTATTATCATTGGGTTTTTTTTTCATTATATTACAGTTAATGTACTAATTTAGTGATGGTGTTTATATTTCAATTATAATTTCACAGTAAAATATAAACAAAATAAAAAAGGTGGGAAAGTAAGTAACCGTTACAGTGTAAGTATATTAGGTTCTGAATTAATCTCTTTATTATATGAGTAACTAAGATAATCCACGTATTAAGTTTATAATCAATGATAATGTAAAACGATTATAAATTACGACAAACTGTCATTATACTCGTATATAAATAAATGTATCCCATAATATGTTTTTAGTATTGCGGTAAATTGATTTAAAGTTTGCCAAAAATACTACATTTTTTATA